TTTGAATAAGTGTTTAAAATAAATAATTAAATAATTTATTAAATATACATAATCAATTAAGATAATAAATTAATAAAATATTTAAATGAGAAATCAAATTAAATATTAATTTTTTATTTAAGCAAGTGATTAAATAAATAATTAAATAAAGAAATTAAATATTAAATAAATAATATACATAATCGATTTTAATTAATGAAATATTTAAACAAGAAAGTAAATTTAATATTAATTTCAGTAATTGTTTAAAATAAATAATTAAATATAAAGTGAAAAGTGTTTGATTTTTTAATTTGTAAGTTAAGGGTATTTTTGTCTTTTGTAACAAAATTCTATTTTTGTAATTATATAAACTACTTAAGGGTATTTCTGTCTTTTACTCAATGAAAGGCTATTTTGGTGATAGGCAAATTTTTTTTGGTTAAAGTGAAAAATTGCACCTTTGACTTGGCCAAACTAAAAATTACCCCGGCTATAAATGGGGAAAATTGCCGCAGCAGTACTACATAACCTTTCCAATTAGGAAAAAAGCATTTGTACATAAATCAAGCAGAAGCTCACATGAGAGATGGGACCATATAAATTAAATATTTTCAAAAAATTGGGCCCACATGTTGCCAGCATCATCGCCCAAACTGTCGAATCCACACATCATAGAAAAGCCATCATTTCCCTCTACACATCCCATCCAAACCATCGGCCCTAACTCCACAAGATGTCGTCGAATTAACCACCCAAAACCCCTAACTCGCGAACTCAAAGACTGCTGACAGCTCATCCTTTGATCACACCCACCGTCAAGAACTATCACATGTCAATTCCCACTATCCCGACATCCAATCTGATAATGGTATTTCAACAAAAAGGGGGACAAACAATCGACCCAGCTTTTGGGATTTCGAACGATCTTTAAAAGGGGCGGGATTTGATTTTTAAATGTGCAATGGGTTGAAATGTGGAGGTGGGGGGTGCCAGCACTGATAGTGGGTGATGGTGAGTGAGAGTTGTGGTGGTGGTATGGGTCAAAGTTCGCGGTGGCAACGATTTTTGTGACTCATCGAAGAAGAATAGATCTCGTCAAGTTTTGATTTGGGGAGGTGGGGTGGAGTGGGGTTATATATTTTTTTTTATTTTTTGGATTTTTTAATTTAATTTTTAACTTATGTAAAATAAGGAAAATACAAAGTACCATTTTACCTTTTTTAATTTAGTCAAGATTGGTCAAAGTTCATTTTTCTTTGTTAACTAACGATTAAATGGATATGTAGCTGCATATTTATGAAAGGTTAGGGACTTTTGTTGGCACAAAATGAAGATGTCTGTAAAAATTGAAAAAGTTAGGATCGTTGCTGCAACTTTCCCTTATAAATGCGATAAAAGCGTCCATGACTAAAACTTAACTTTTGTAGTTGAAAGAGGTAACATTTGATTTTGACACCAACTTCACTTGGCCTAATCTTTCCTAATGGCCAAAAAATAAAATAAATGTAAAAATCACAGGGACTAAAAATTTAAATAAATAAATAAAAACATGTTAATAGGTTAAGTTAGACATTATCTCAATGGTTTTATTTTATTTTTTTGATTTTCCTCTTAAATTTAAATTAATTTAGACCATCTCACTATTTTTCAATTAACAAGTCTTGCTTATTGAGTCTTCTCAAGGTATTGAGCTTTCTTGTTGGGTAGATTGTTGAATACAATTAGCTTATGCGAACCACTACTATAAAGTTATCACTATAGACTAACTCAAATCCTCTTTAGGAGGGAGTCATGTAGATTTAGAAGTGTTGGATTTTTTATACCCAATAAATCCCGGATTATGATGTTAACGTGGGTTAATATTATTTCATAAACATAAGCTGATGAATGAAATAAGTCCAACAACCAAGTCCATGAGTTACACCCAGCTCAATTATATTCTCTCTTGGAAGTTTGAATTTTGGCACGTTTACATTTTCAAAGGTCCAACTTAAAGCCTAATCCTAGAGTATAGACATGGCTATAACCCTAGCCACTTTCTTGTGATGTTTTGTGTGGTTTTGAGAGAAAAATTAAGGAATCTCGGCTGCCCCCTTTGTGTGTGAAAAAAAGGCCTCTAGAAGTGTCCAAAAAGTTTGTTTAACGTGTGCAATTGGTGGTTCCTTTATAGTATACTTTTGTAGTGTCTTCTCCTAGTCTTTATAGCCACAAATCATCATCTTTTCTTGTTCTATATGGGTAAGATTGAATAGCAACCGAGATGAATGAATTGGTTGTGGTTTGGAGCCGATTGGACTGGTTGTTGATAGAGAAATGTACGTTGGACTGAGCCCGAAAATCACCAATTTGAAGATTTTTTGAGAGAGCTTCCGCAACATTTGGTATCAGAGCTTCAAGGTGGTGGTTTTGGCTCTTGAAATATTGCAAAAAATCGTCCAGAAACTGGTAGAAACGAACCAGAAATCAGATCGAAAAAACTATCAAAATCAGTCTCCATTTTTCGCATTTTCTGATCAATCCAGAAGCAGTTTTGGGAAACGGAGACCACTAGCGTGACGTGCAGGTGGAGAAGGACCCTACAAGATGGTTCGTGTATGAGACAGCGTCGTGTGAATCCCACGCGCAGAGAGAGTGACGGCGGGTGCGGGCGCGTGGAGCTTTTTTTGGCGATGGTCTCCTCATGCAGTTTGTTCCTTACATTATTTTTGACATTTTTCATGTTGAATTTTTTTTTGTTTCAAGGCCTACAGAAGAATCTAGACAACGTTGTTCTTCGAGCGTCGGGATTCGATCGTGATTTTTTGGTTGCTGCAGTTTCAGATATTTTAGGACGAATAGTAGTGGTTTTAAAGTGATAAATTCACAACTCGTGTAATTTACGGACTCAGATAGGTCCGCTCTGGTATATTGGCTTAACTCAGTTTAAATTTCAGTATTAGTAGATCATCGTGTGGGGTGATCATTAGGATTGAGAGTTGTCATTACTTGGCAATCATTGGTTGTGCTAGAAAATTTAGGAATTATTTATTCTATTTTGAAGTGTTGAACTTTGATTGCAAGTTGGTAGTCGATTTTGTGCTTTATCTGTCATATAGTCACCGTGTGAGACTTGTTGCGTGAAAATTTTGAATTTTTGTTTATATACCTTCGTGGTTGCATTAATTATCCCATTAGAACACTTGGACTTGACCCATTCGAACATTCCCTTGATCTAAAATTGTAAATCTTAAGAAACTTTGGGAATCTAGAACGGTGTATATTGCGACCTTAGGATTACTTTGTGTGACCTATCTGTGCTTTTGGTTGTTCTATTTTCCTAAAAATGTCTTCACACTTTGAAGTTGAAATATTTAATGGGAAGGGGGATTTTCTATTTGGCAACAAAGGATGAAGGGTATTTTGGTCCAACAAAAAGTTTCAAAAGTTATAGATGACCAATTTCTTGCAAATTTGATAGAAGTACTAAAGAAGAGTATGATGAACCTGCATACACTTCAATTATTTTACAACTGTCTGACACCGTTTTAAGAAAAGTTGGAAAACTCAATTCTACCAAAGAAGTTTGGGAAAAGTTGGAGGACTTATATTTACTTAAGTCAACTCCTAATAAATTGTAATTGCTTGAATGATTTTTCAATTTTAAAATGGATCCTTCAAAGGATCTTGATGACAATCTAAATGTCTTTAACAAGTTAGTTCAAGACATCGTTAATTGTGATGAAAAGGTATCTGAAACGTATAAAGCTATTATCTTGCTTAATTCCATGCCTAATTCATATAGGAAAGTTAAGAATGCAATTAAGTACGGTAGAGACACCTTAACATTCGAGATTGTCATAGACTCGCTTAGGAGTAAGGAGATAGAAATTAAGGCTGAAAAAGAGGATAAAAGGAGTAACGAGTTACATATGATGAGGAGTAGGATGATGTTTAAGCAAATGAATTTGGGTAGAACTCAAGACAGCAGTGATTTAAGTAGTGACTCGAGTGATGATGATAGTAAGAAGAAGGGTAAGGGACGAGACAAGTTTAGTGGTAGAAGGTGTTACAGTTGTGGTAAGTCTGGACACTTTATTAGAGATTGTCCGAAGAAGAAAGATAAGCTGAAGGGTAAGATGAGAGGTGAGATGAATGTGGTTGAGGGGTCGAGTTATGACCCCAGTGAGGTTTATTAAGTGTAAACCTAGGCACTGTATATGCATCTGTGTGAGATCCTTTCTGCATGTGTGTGATTGTCTAGATTTTGTTGTACGATTATCTGCTATTTTCAATATGTTTGATATGTGCATTTGTATGAATTTGAAACATTAGGATTACATGGTGTAATTGCTTGCATACATAGTGGGTTAGGATGCATTAGCAGTGTGTTGTGTGTATTTTGGTGAAGTGGAGTATAGATACCTAGGGGTACATTGTGGTTTGTATCGGGGATGTGGAGTGTGACATTTGGATCACGAGTGGAGATGTGATCAAATGACTAGAATCCTTTATCTGTAAAAAGATCCTGATCAGGAAGAGTGTGAGATAGACACTTCTATCACTTCTATTAGGTAGAGACCCATTATCCACGCAGGTTGGGAAAAGTGAGGTGGAGATAGAGAATTATCCCATGGACTTGGGATCTATTGTGACCTACCAGTTAGATATGAGTTGGGTGATTAGTCTAGTGAGCTTGGTGAGCGATGAGAGGAGATATGTGTTTTCGAAGTGCGAGCAACACGGAATGAGATAGGATAAGTGTGGTGAGGTCTTTTCATAGGGTCATTTATGCATGTGTTGTATATGTGGTTAACCGTGGTTTAATTGATTTGGTGTTAATCTATGATTCTATGTGAACGTGTTTCTAAAAAGATCTATGCATGTTGTCCTATAGTATATCGTTATCGCACGTGTATTTGCTCTTGATCATTTATTGTTAAATATTTGCTTCTACTTGGGCGTTTTTGACCTTAGCTCCGATGAGTACATGGAGTAGGTATGGTATGTGTTTCAGGTTGGAAACACGAGATAAGGTCTGTGATCCAATTTTATTGGCTACCTTGATTATGCAAGTGCTAACTGTGTGTTTTGATTGCTTACATATTTATTAGGCATCAAGGTGAAGATTTGTTGGGTTTTTGATACCCAATAAATTTCGGTCTATGATGTTAACGTGGGTTAATATTATTTATAGGCATAAGTCGATGAATGAAATAAGTCCAATAATTAAGTCCATGAGTTACACCCGGTCCAGTTGTATTCCCTCTTGGAAGGCTTGAATCTTAGCCTGTTTACCTCTTTAAAGGTCCAACTTAAAGTCTAACCCTAAAGTATATATATGGCTATAACCCTAGCCACTTTGTTGTAATGTTTTGTGTGGTCTTGAGAGAAAAATTAAGGAATCCCGGTTGCCCCCTTCGTCTGTGAAAAAAAGGCCTTTAGAAGTGTCCAAAATGCTTGTTTAACGTGTGCAATTGGTGGTTCCTTTATAGTGTACCTTTGTAGTGTCTTCTCCTAGTCTTTGTGGTCACAAATCATCATCTTTTCTTGTCCTATGTGGGTAAGATTGAATAGCAATCGAGGTGAATTAATTGGT